CGGAGGGCGGGATCATTTTGGCATATAGCACTTCTGAGCATAGCAACCCAAGCGGCCCTTCAAACTGGATTCCCTGTACCGCGAGTGGTTAAAAAGATATTATAATGACACTTATATAACTCATAATAATAGCCTAAATATTTATTATAAGTTCGTAATAACATTAGTATATTTAAACATAAGCTATACTTAAGGTAGGGTATGCTTAGCTTACTTACAACGGGTTTTTCTAAAAATTGGGCTTCGCTGAAGCAGAGCTTCTGAGCTGAAAGCTCTTCTTCTCGGAGCCTTCGGGTGCTCCGCGACTCACCTCTAGCACCTAGGATGTGCTAGGGAAGGGGGAGAGGGTTTGGGGGTAATGGGAGAGAAAGGATATGAAAGGTGTGAGTTTGGAGGGTGATTTACGCCTCTATTTATAGGCATTCTGAGGCCTCTCACGTCGTGAGAAGGGTGCTCATGTCTTGAGCTTTGCAAAGGCTCCAAGGCGAAGTCTGGTGCTGACACGTGGTGCCCGACGCAGGTAAAACAACCAATCTTTAAAAATCCATAATTTTCGCATATGAACCCTGTTTTTAATGTTCTTTATATCCACGTGTAGGTAAAGACAAGATCTATAACTTTCCTTTTGACTCCATTAGCTAATTATCGAACGATTTTAAATTTAACAGTACTAGAAGATTATACTGTTAAATGACTACATAAAATTCATAACTTCTACATACGGACTCCGTTTTCGTTTGTCTTGTTATCGTTGAGTCCCTATTAATGAGATCTTCAATTCTCATTTAGGTTGCGTTGGCCAAAAACCGCTTTATCTAAAATTCGAATTCTGGGTTCTACATTGGTAAGCCAAATCATAGAAAAATCATAAGTTCCTCATACGAAGTCATATTTGGGCGTTCTTTTTATGCACACTATTAGTTTAACATATACTACGACTTTTATTTAGATCACTAAGGCTAAAAAGTCTTCTATCATAAATTTACTATTTAGGTCACACAGCGTCGTGCTGGTTTTGTCGCGAAACTTCGACGGGCCATAACTTATTCGTTATAACTCGGATTTCGGTGTTCTTTATATGTTCGGAGACCTTGTAACATATGCTACAACTTTTTTAAGATTATTTATTCTAAATAATCTTTTGTCAAAAAGTCTTTTTCGACACTTCTTGTCTCTAAATTGATTAGTCCGGATCTGCTGTCGTTACAGTAGGTGTTGCTTGCTTGAACCTTGCAACAAATCTTCTTTGTCTTTCCTTCAAAGTGCTCCAAAACACCAAAGATAAACTCAAATATATGTGTGTGTGTGTCATATATATATATATATATATATATATATATATATATATATATATATATATATATATATATATATATATATATATATATATATATATATATATATATATATAGGGTTAGGGTTTCTCCAAAGCTCGTGGAGGTGATTAAGGCTAAAGGTGGAGGAAACCCTATGCATCACTTCCTTTAAATAGGGCCTTAAGCTCGAAATTAGGGTTTGCCGAAAAACAGACGCCACTTCGTGGCCAATATATTACCACGTCGTGTCGGCCAAACTGAGACACACGATTAAAACAGCCATGCCATGTTGTAGGGATACATCCTTCACGTTTTGGTCAACACAAAACTTAGAAAATTACTTTAATTTCCATACCTCGAGGATCTAGATGTTACATATATGTTTTATATAAATATTTCCTTAATTTCTTGGTTTGAAACAGTTTTATGAGAGGGACTACATGTGTACATTTGTGGAACTGTTGGGTTGAGGCTCGTTTCCATGAAAGTTAGGAGTATTGGACATGCGGATCTTATGACCCGTTGGCCTATGGATGATCCGTATATATAGTGTTGCATCGATTAAGCTCAATTCAGTCATAACACACATAAACACGCATTCACAACCTCTCTCTCTCTCTCTCTCTCTCTCTCTCTCTCTCTCTCTCTCTCTCTCTCTCTCTCTCTCTCTCTCTCTCTCTCTCTCTCTCTCTCTCTCTCTCTCTCTCTCGTTTTATGATTAGGGTTTCAGAAGTTAAGATTGCATATACCTTGATGCTCTTATTTCTTTGTGTATTAAATCTTTAAGTGATTTGTATAGGGAATAGAGTTAGGATTTTTATGGTGAGGATCGAGTTGTAAAACGTCATGTTAAATGAATTGGTTTCTCTATAATAAAAGAAATTGTTTAAGTTAGGATATTGTTTAAGTTAAAAGTTGGTTTTTTAAAGTTGTTAAACCGATTAAATTCCCAATATTAGTGGTTTTTACAGAGTCTAATATATTATATAGGATTTTTACCAAAAACAAATGGTTAAACTGAAAATAAAATTGTTTTATGCTGTAAAAAAACAAAATACCATCGTTTTTAAGAATCAGTTAATGTCGTATCGATCTTTAAAAGTAAAAGCCAAAACTTTTCGTTTTAATGTTGGTACAGTTAATTCGGATCGGTTATTTATATTTTTACTCTATTCATTCTTTTTCGACAAATTATCTAACAAAGAAGAACCACAATATATTTTACTAAATTATATTAATATAGTAATATGATATTTGTATACAGTAAAATATAATAAACAAAATGATGTAATCGGAAATGAGACGAATAAGTTGAAAGAATATATATTAAATCACGTTGTTACAATCTAAAGACGTAAATTATTATAAATGTTATATATAGTTTTTTTTTTAAATATAAAGACGTAAATTATTATAAATGTTATATATAGTTTTTTTAAATGTTATATATAGTTTCTCCCTCACTTCCAATGGTGAGTACAAGGTGGGTGACATCAAAGGCTTAAGGCTCTATTATCTGCTGGTCAAAGCTTATACCTTTCAAAGTCCGGTGCTTCGTTTGGAGAGCCATGTTTGGATGTATTCCAGTGGCGGATTCATTAAATAAAAGGGGTGTTCAAACTCAATCCCAACATTGTAAGATGTGCGGTAATGAACGGGAAATGGCAACTCATCTTCTTCTTAACTGTGAATTTGCTCATGAGGTTCACAAATGGATCTTTAAATGGTGTGGTTTTCAACCTAGAAGATTTAACAGCATGTTGGACTTTCTCGATTCGATGGCTTCCGGAGGAAATAGGTGTAAAAGAAGGTTGATTGGTAGTATGATCCTATACTGTACCATCTGGTCTATCTGATTAGCCAGAAATGATAGGGTGTTCAAAAACTCTTTTATTGCCCCTACGAACGTGGCGGATACCATTATCTCCACATCCTATAATTGGTATAGGTACAGGAGCTCTTCGGGTTATGGCAGTTGGCCGGAATGGTGTTGTTTATCTTTTTGAACATTTCTTGTAATTTGCTTGTTTTTTTGTTTTTTCCTTCCTGTTTCTAAAACTTGGTTTGCTGTCTCTCTTCCATGATTTAGTCACTTGCTAATCATGGTCTTATAATGATATTTGTCGTTTACAAAAAAAAAAGATCTATACTACCTTAAATAATAAACTTATAAAATATAGAAGAGTTAAATCATGTATAAACGTAAATAAAGGGCTATAAGTGAAATTCATGAAATATATTCTTGTTTATGAAAAGATGGTAGCTGAAACTAGGGATGTTCTTAACCGGATATTCGAAAATTCGGATATCCGAAATTTCGGATAGTTGCTTTTTGGTATCCGATTCCGTATCCGAAATTTTGGATATCCGAATTTTATCCGATTATGTATCCGAAATTTCGGATATCCGAAATTCGGATACGGAATCGGATACCAAATCGGATATCCGAAAATTTGAAATTTTGTTAAATTTTGAAAAACATATGAAGTTTTTAAGTTAAAAAGACATATTTTTAAATTAGAAAGGCATATGAAGTAATATAGGTATTTAATTAAGGGTATTATAAACATGTTTTAGTTACTAAAATTCATATCATAAGACATATGTGACTAAATAACAATAATGTATAAAATAAAATCAAAATTTTTTGATATCGGATGTCCGAATTATCCGAAAAATTTTAAAAGCACTATCCAGTTCTGATTCCGAAAAATTGGATATCTGAAATTTTGGATATTCGATTTTTCGGATAATTCGCATTCGAAATTTCGGAATTTCGGATACAGATATTTTTGAACAGCCCTAGTTGAAACCATGGTTGTTAAGATTCCGATCGTAATCATGATCTTAATATGTTACGTATTTAAGATCAAGCATACCAAAAACAATGTCGATCTCACAATGATCTATCTAAAACAAAAACTATAGTGAGATCTTAGGATCTCGATTAGAATCTTAAGATCTTAATACGAGTAAATCTCACTTCTATAGTTTTATTATATAATCGAACATAATATATTTTTTTTATTCAACTTGAATCGAATATTGCAAGTTACAAAATCCTTATAAACCATCATGACTTTATGACTTTATTTCGAATTAACTATACTACACCTATGATATATTCTATTTGTGATATTAAGTCTATCATTGTATATCATAATGATCTTATTTTTTTGTAATTATGATATTTTTTCATTTTTTTTACGGTTTACAACAATATAAATTATGATTAATGTTTAAAAATTCAAAGTTACTTAATATTGACGTCTTAATTGACATTAAGTTATCATGTATATGGTAAACCTAAGACCTTACAAACAAATTTAAATATAAATTGGTTTTGATAGGATCTTTCAATGTGGATACCATTTTAGGATTATGATTTTGTAAAAGATAAAATGATCTTCTTTAAGATCTAAATGGCTGAATTTATGTGGTAGTTTTCTTTTGTTTGACTTTTTTTTTTCACGTGTTAGTTAGTTTATAGGCTATAATTTGAATTGTAGGCTGGATTTAAAAGAAAGTTAGGTGTGACAATAAATACCCCTACACTATATATTCACACATGATGGTGATGGTGATTGTTGAATGCATTCGAGATAGCACCTCTTACAAACCCAAATCTCTATTTCCCATTTTTCTTGCTCTCCCTCCGCACTCTTCCCTTATTCCATTAAAACAATGAAGGAAGCTGAAGAACAGGCAACAAATACCATTGGTAAGTACACTCTTAAGTTTGAACACTTCATAATTATAACTGTTGCCTCTTTTCTCTAGCAAAATTTATGCAATAGTGACTTGTACGTTGTGTAGGAAAAGTTGTACACAATATTTGACATCCTGTGCACAATTTTTATTATCTTTTTAGCATGGTAGTAAATAAACTAGAAGAGGTAAATAAATTAGGAGAGTTTGTCAATGGAAAATCAATGATTGTCAATTTCATAGCAATCATGCAATATGACTAGTAAGTACAACAGGGTATAAAACTTGCATATTTAGGAAAATTGACTATCAAGAAACTCTAGAGATTAGCTTTTACTTGATAATTTTTTTTTATTATTATTAAAATTTCTATATTTACATCCGTTTATTATAAGATACACCCCATTTAAATCATATCATTATCCCATTAGTTGACTTTAGCTTCTCAAAAAACAACTAACCCACCTCATTACCAACCTTTTAATATCTTACATTCTCATCCATGTGCTATTGCATTGGTACAATTTTTTTTTTTTCGAACTTAAAAGATAAGGGTTATTCTATATATATTATAAAAGTTCCAAATACACGATGTAGTGACTAATTATCTTTATATAGTCAAATCTTAATTTATGATTTCAAAAAAACTTTTACATAATTTGTATTTTCATTTGTCACCCTTCTATTTGAGTATATTTGAGTATGTGTTTCAGAATTTATGATTTTTCTTATAGAAATATATTCCCCAAATCCGTTATTTAAATGCTATTAACATAATATTATAGTGGGAAAATAATTTACCAAATTAACCGATTGCTATTAATATATTATATTATATTATATTATATACTAATTTCAAAGTGTTTATGAATAGGATTTTTTCATGTTTTTGGAGTTTGCCACAAAAGTTTAGTATTTTGCAAGATTTGGTTCTTATAATTTTGTATGTACTGAAAAGGTCCTTATAAAGTTATTTTTTTTTTATAAAAATAGTTCATATGTTTAAGGTTTTCATATGTTAACATGTTTAGCCCCTAAATAGTACATATGTTTAAGGTTTTCAAATCTCATGTGTCATGTATATGCCATGTATATTCCATTTGTGGCTTAACCTACTACAATTATCATGGATAGTAAGGGTATAGTATAAATATTAAATAAGAACTTAATGGTCAACAAAATACAATACAAAAAGTAACAAAATACGAATAAAAACTATAGTTAGATATCCTTGTTAATCATTTTCTCAGTAATAAGATTATATATATATATATATATATATATATATATATATATATATATATATATATATATATATATATATATATATATATATATATATATTATAGGGGTATTAATTTCAAACTGTATGAATAGTATCTTTTCATGTTTTTGGAGTTTGCCACAAAAGTTTAGTATTTTGCAAGATTTGGTTCTTATAATTTTGTATGTATATAAAATCCTTATGAAGTTATTTTTTATACAAAAATAGTCCATATGTTTAAGATTTTCATATGTTAGCATTTTTAGCCCCTAAATAATCCATATGTTTAAGGTTTTCATAAGGTTTTCAAATCTCATGTGTCACGTAGATGTCATGTATATTCCATTTGGGGCTTAACCTACCACAATTATGACCGATCGTAACGGTATAGCATGAACATTAAATAAAAACTTAATGATCAACAAAATACAATACAAAAAGCGAGAAAATATGAACAAAAACTACAATTAGATATCCTTCTATATCATTTTCTCAGTTATAAGATAGTTTATATATATATATATATATATATATATATATATATATATATATATATATATATATATATATATATAATGTTTTGGTAAATATGTATCAAAATATGAACAATTGAAAATTATATAATGTTTATATATATATATATATATATATATATATATATATATATATATATATATATATATAATCAAATTTATCGAGATATTATAGGGGTACGATAGAAGAACCAATATAACTATTTTTAAAAGTATTTTATAATAAATATTGATTCACATATTTTTTATTTCAAAAGTATTTTTTTTCATCAATTTATTAAATATCAAACAAACACCTAGAATATTAGGTTTTGGTATCATTTTGGATAATTACGTGATTTTTCTATGAGTACAGTTAATAATGTCAATATTAATTTTCTATTTGTTAATATTCTTATATTCTTATAAATATAAATAAGAGTATAAAAATATAAATTACAAAAGAGGCCTTTTTTTGAACCTTTCAATCAAGTTAAGGGGCCAAACTTAAATATTATTAAATTTAAAAACAAACATTATGTCAAATCAACATACTTCACCTAGATCATTAAATGATTAATTGATGCTGGTCCAAAATTTTGTTGCATTTTTTTTTAATTTCAATACACGATTTGTTTAATGCTATAAGATAGGAGGACCATAGTTATTGCTAGTTTTGTTTTATTTGAGTCGAATATAATTAACTTTCTGTGGTTCAAAAAACAAAAGTAATTTGTTAATCGGACAACATGCTGCTTATTTTATTTTATTAAAATCTAATATATTGTAATAAAATATAAGTTATTTAGTTTTATTAATTTATAATCTTAGGTAAGAAATGTTTATTTTACTAAAATCTAACTTATATTCCTCATAAACCACTTTTAAAATTATAATTTTATGTAGATTTAATATGTTTTTATCTTCTTTGATTTCTTAATATCATTAATAAAATTTTCGTTAATCATAATTAAATAATAGATAAAATATAATTAAATCCATACATTCTGTGTGTTCGTGTTTTATTTGATGGAAGGAATCTCACGATGATTTGTGTTAGCGTTCAGTGTGTGGTTGAGATTTTATCACTCAACAACCTTTTTAAAAGTTGATTTAAGTGTTTAGGACAACCAAAGAAGAACTGTTCTACTTAACATGATAAATTCATTAATTATTTATTTTAATCTTATATTTTCATTTTGACATTTACCTTAATCCTACGAGTAGAAAGTAGAAAGTAGAAAGATGAATAAAAACAAAAAATAAGATATTATTTGATTTCTGTTTTTAATAAAGGAAGAATTTTATATATGCTATTTTTAAATATCAAAATATCATATTTACTGAACTTAATTTCTAAATATCATATTTACCCTTCATAAAATTTCTAAATATCATATTTACCATTCATAAAATTTCAAAATATCATATATATTCTTTTTAAACATTAAAATATATTATATGTCATTCTTAAATATCAAAATATCGTATATACACTTTTAAACATCAAAATATCAACGGTAATATCTAAAATATTCTTCATCTACAACATAATCAACAAAAAAAACTAAACAATCAAAATATATATATTCCATAGAAAGGGTTAAAGATAAATATTTTTGTTTATCAAGAGAACGACATTCCAACAATTTAGAAGTTCACATTTCATTATCATAGACGTAAGAATAATATCGTTAAATTTTTTAATTATTATAGTAATTTTAATTTATAAAAAATGATTATAAAATATTAAAAACATTATAAAAAAAGATTTGGACAAATATAAATATTTTAAAGGTTTATGAAAGGTAAATATGATATTAAAAAATTAAGCTGAGCAGATATTATATTTTGAGATTCAAGAGGGAGATATATGAAATTTTCCCTTTAATAAATGTATGAGACTAATCTATAGAGCAATACAATAATGAATTGTATATGGTATTGAAAGTTTTTCATAAGGGGTGATTAAGATTGAGAGTGTTTTTGAAAATGACTTATTAACTTATTAGTTTTTCCAAAAAGTCAATAAATTAAAAAAAAAAAAAAAAGTCTTTTCTCGAAATGTAATGAAAATCCAACTTTTCAAAAAAAAAAATCAATAAAAATTTTCAAAAACATTACCAAACACCCTCATAGTAATTTAGAAAGGTTATACATTACGGCATGCAATAAAAGGTTATACATTCACCTGGAGTCCTGGACTTGATTATTTTCTATGTGGAAATCTTAACGGCCACAAACACATATGAAATCATACAACAACTTGTACCTTGACATGGGTTTCGTGAAAATCTGAGAATCACAACAAAATAATGAAATTTGTTCACTTTAAAGGAACAAGGTAACGATACAAACAAACTTGTATAATATGCATATATAATTCGACCTTCACATAGGTTTCCGGTTTCGTTATTATAGCTCTAATTACCACTGAATAGTTTTTCCGAAACACCTTCTTTTTGTTTAATTAGTTTAAATCTTTTTAAAAAACTTTAATTAGTGCTAACAAATATGGTCTTATAATCATTGTTCACAATAAATAGACAATTTAAAAGAACTTTAAGAGAGGTTATCAATCACAACATCAAAACATAGTTTAAATAACCACACAACAACACGATTTTCTAAAAGTCTAAGCTTCCATCAGAGTATTTTGTCGCTATTATCACATGAACATATACCAAGATATAAATTAGACATTACGAATACCTAGTGAGTAATATTAGAATTTCACATTTTGGAATTCGAGGAATCGGTACAAATCATTTGATCATTTGACTCATATAAGTAGGAACATTTAGTGAAAACTCTTAAATAGTTATTCTCGAGGAATGTCATAATCATGACTCTCAACTTTTATCAAAGGTATTACAAATAATTTGGAGATTTCTCATTGGAAACTCTTAAATAGTGAAAAATCTCTAAAGTATTTGCAATACCTTTGATAAACGTTGTGAGTTTAACCATATATTGTTAGAAAGTATTTAACTCATTGAAAACTCTTAAATAGTTATGCTCGAGGAAAGTCATAATCATTGTTCATCATTTAGTGAAAATAAAAATATCAAAATATTAGTCATAAAAACAGTAGATGCAATGCAATATGCTATAACCTATTCTTAAGTCAATCTCATATGTCCAACCTAACAAATCAATGATTCAAAGCAAGAAGTGCCTCACATCATCATCGTGTGAGAGTATCCAAGTAAAAGCATCCTTACCTCCTAACATTTT